AAAATGTATTATGGATTGTAATCTGGAAGAAAGTAGCATATTTTCATCAAGTAAATGGAAATTTGCTACTGAGCATCAACCAAAGTACTAAAACATTTTTATTTTACTTTACTGTAAAAATAAATGAGGTAACTAGTTCTGGGTGCAGAATAGTAGTATGGATTCAGTCTATTCCACAGTTTTCCCACGAATCAAAATTTTAGTTTTACTTTGGCTAATTGTCACATTACCAGGGAGTTAATATGAGGAAATTATTCAGTGCAGGGTATGGAAGCCTTCTAATGTAACGTGATTAATAGTTTTCAGCGATATCAATTTTTCTCTACTAGCAAAAAAGTTGAATTTCTGTGGATTTCAGGTATGTAATTGTACTTAAAGAGTATTTTATATTCTTATCTGGATTTATCATATGTAAATTTGCATCTTATATCCACTCCTTTATTCTTCCAAATCATTATGTCATTTAACCGACATTGAAGTACTTAAAGACATTTAATGCTTGGATTACACAGTGTCCTCTAAGGGTCTTACTCCCCAGCTTTTATTTATTTATGTTTTTAAGTCCTAGAAGGCACATGCACACACATGATGGAGAGAATGAGAAAACACCTCCCAGTGGTCACACTGCAGTCCTCGCCCTCCAGTTCTCTGTCTTGTCAGGATCCTGGCACATTTGTTCCAACATGTTTTTTAAGCTCCTTGAGCCAGGATTTCAACCCTGACCGGCCTTGTGGGATCCGGCTTCCTCTACTGAGCTGTGGGGCAGGCCCAGTTCTCGCTTTCACTTGGTGCCTATTTGGTGAGCACTTCCTGTATGTCAGAGCATAGCCATCTGCTTCCTGTGCTCTACCTGCCGTGAGCACCTAGACAAAGGTCTATTTTCATCTCATTCTTGGGACTTCATTGAGGAAAGAGCAAAGAGCAAAGGATAGAAGGTCAGCAAGTAATGAAAAACGAGGGAAGTAGAGGACAGATAAGATCTCTGCTGAAAATTACAACAGGAGCTCGACAGCAAGTGTCTGGGAATGTAGTTGGAACTGATCTACAAAAGCCTGTCTGAATCTCACACTTTGTGAGGTGGCATGTGCATGGCAAGGTGGATTAACCATGGAAAAGTCTGGGGAAGAACGTTCCAGAATGAGGCAGCACCAAGTCCAGGATCCTGGGCATGCCTGCACACGTGCACATCCAGCGTGTTTTTCAAGCAGCCAGGTCCAGCGCGCAGCTGCACAACTGGCTGTGTGGGATCCAGCCCTCACCTGTATGCCACTGGCTAGCCTGAATTGGTGTTTGTTAAGCCATTATGTGGTAATTAGATAAAGCAGCTATTAGAAACTAATGCAGGATTATTCCAAGTTAAAAGAAAGTGTCTACTTTAAAAGGTGCTGATATAAAGAATAGTATATATTTTTAAATTTTTTAATATTTGTCATTTCAACTAAAATGCTATTTACGTTTGGTTCCAAAGTGCAGCTTGATCCTCCTTCCTCCAGCTTGTGTATTCTCACAGGGGTACTGGGGAGGAAAAAGAGAACAGGCAGGTCTAGGAAGGGCAGGCACATGACACGGGTGGTGTGCTGGCAAAGCAGGAGAGGGCAGGAGAGGGCAGCTGAGGGCAGGAGAGGGCAGCTGAGGGCAGGAGAGGGCAGGAGAGCCCATCCACTGCAGAAGGACAAAGAGTAGGGCAAGGAGGAGAAGGGAGAGAGGAACAGACAGAGAGTGGGCTTTGGGGAGGAAGGGGAGACCTACTATCTGTTACCGCATAACAAATGACCCCTGAAATCCAGCACCTTAAATCAGCAAACCTGAATCTCACCCAATGAGCCATGAGCATCAGGAATCAGGAGGAGCAGGTGTGGCTGTCCCTGGCTGGGTCCCCTGCAAAGCTACAGTCACTGAAGGTTTGCTGAGGCTGAAGGCTTTAAGGAAGTGGAGCCCTCGAAAGGCAGTAGGCTGTGACCTCAGCTCTCCACCACAGTGGCCTTTCCGCAGAGCTGCTTGAGGGTCCTCATGGCAGGACAGCTGGCTTCCTCTCAAACAAGGAATCCGAGAGGGAGCTTAGAGGAAGCCACGTACTAGTCGTATGACCTGCTCTCCTGTCATTTCCACCAGTTTTGGTTGGCTAGAAGTCACTAAATCCATTCCCCACTCACGGGAGAAGGATTAGGCTCTGCCATTTGAAGGCAATGGCAAAGGCTTTGTGGATGTTTCTAACCAGAGAAGAAAGGCAGAAGGAGTGAAGAGAAATTTGAGCAAAACACCCATTTTCCACCTGTTAGGGAGGATGCCTAGAAAACAGTAAAATGGCCTGTTTACCACAGAATGCCTTTAGATTATTTTAAATTCATTGTATGTAAAAATGCAAATGATTCTCTTTTATTACTCAGTTTTTAGAGGAAATATATTGAATAGCAAAATACACTACCTGTATTTTAAAACAGTAACAAGCCTTGGGGTCAGCAGTTGGCATAGTGGTTGAGGTGCTGTACTCTCACATAGCTGACTGTGGTTTGAGTCCTGGATCTAGTGGCTTGAAAATCATACCTGGTGCGTGTGCATGTGGGCCCAAAATCCTGAAAGGAGAATGGAGGAGAGGGGATCGCAGCACGGTGTTCCCCCTGAGGAATGATTCCTCATTTACTCTCTCACTCTCTGTCTCTCTCTATCTCTGGCAAGCACATACAATAGGCAAAAACCTATGAAAAGATGAACAAGCCTTGATTTTTATCCATTGACATTTTCAAATCAAGATTTGGGAGCAGAAAAAATCAGGTTCAGGTTTTGTACATTTGCATTGCGTACTGAAAAAAGACACACTTTAACATAATGTTCTCAGACATTATCTTCAAATACTGGAGTAAATACTAATTTCTTTTTAATGTGCTTTTTGAAGCTGAAAAATCAATTATTTTACTATAAAAATGGCATTTTTGTGAGGCTGCAGATAAATGAAGGTAATCATTCTGATCATTTAGACGATCAAAAATTTCATAAAGCATTTCTTAATGGATGAATAAACAGCTTTGTGTTCTATTTAAAACAAGATAAATAAAACACATTAATATACCCACTGTTTCAAATAAGTCCAAATTAGAACGTATCTGTGCACGTTGTGTGTGCTGTGGAGCACTTTCAATGTACTCCATTTGGGACACTATGGCAGTACAGATGTATAGGCAATGATCAATACAGGAGCCAGCAGGCGACATGGTGGTTAAGGTGCTAGACTCCCACATGTCCGACTGCAGCTGAATCCCAGACCTGGTGGCTTGATGCATGTGTGTTCAAAATTCCAAAAGGAAAATGGGGAAGGGATTGTGGTGTGGCCCTTCCACCAAAGGGTGATTTCTCCTTTTCCTTCTCACTGTCTCTCTCTGTCCAAAACGAATATGCTTTTCCATGAAGGGCCTAAGTTGTTTAAGCTTCCTGAACCATATAGTCTCAACTCTTCCTTTGTAGGCAGAAGCAGACATAGAAGCCATGCAAAGGGACAGACTTAGCTGTGCTGCAACAAAACTTTATTTACAGAATGGGCAAGCCAGAGCTGCCCTCCAATTATCTTCCTGCGTTGAAGAATTAATTTATACACACTGGACACCAAGAGTATTACCTTTCCTTGGTATTCCCTTACTGAAGTTCCCAGTAAATGTTATTTCTAAAGACCAGTGACAGAGTTGGTATCTCTATTCACCTAACAGGCCTCAATTGTTATATGTAATTTTTATTTTGCTTTTATAATCCAATACTCAGTTCTTTAACAGTCATATCTATATTGTTACTGGCCTTGGGTAGTGCAACATGTGCGACGCAAAGAATGAATAAAATGCATTTGGTAAAAAAGTGTGCTCTGTCTGTGGCATTCATAACACAGCAGATGAAGTGAAATCTCACCTGGTTAAAGCATGTTGAAGGCTGTTACACAAGCCAGCCGGAAGTCGTGTTTCTGAAGACAGCTACGTGTTTATTATCTGAAGCGGTGGCGTCTGTACAGATTGAAAGAGTGCACGGGTTTTCTTTCAAAGGAAAATTGAATAGTAGTATCTGTTTATTTTTCCCTGTGTGCTGTTGTGAACACAAAGTAGGATAATTATTTTAAAGTCATCTACAAATGATGTTCTAGCATCATATATACGATGCTTTTGACCTTCCTAGAATGTCTCATAAATAAATAATTAAATAAATAAAAAGATTGAACAGTTTTAACAGTTTCAGATATTCTATCTGTCCTGAAAATTTTGCTCCTGCTCTGCTGACACTGATGACTGTCACACGCTGCTCCTGTGGACACCCCCGCTCTGTCCTCATCTAAGGAAGGACAGTCCACAAGTCCTCCCTAGCTTTGCTCTCAGAGAAGAGCGGACAAGTGTCAGGAGTGACGGCCAGTTTAAGTTGCTGGTTGCGCCAGTCCTCAGCAGAGTGAGGAGTCCTCACGAGTCCTCCGCACTGGCGATTGTGTGTGGGAAGTCAGCGACTCCGGTGGCCCCGCGTGCATCCTGAGGTCCTGCGTCAAACAAAGCTGCTCCACTACTCCATTTCAAATAACCTTCAGACCTCTTTGGTCCTGTTAGAATTTGGGAACCTGGGCCATGTGTATTCACAGTGATCAGAAGCCTAGATGCTGGCCCCTTCAATCAGAACTCTCAACCTGGGTTGCTCTCTATCATGAGTAGGATAATATGGCCCCAAATCCTTCTCCCTGGTTGGTTTCACACAGATGTTTTGAAACTAAGGCATGCCCTAGAATGTGTTACCACACTGTCTTCATCCTTCCTGCCGGTGCTGTTAATGTGAATAAAGAAAACAGTCTGAGGGTTCATAGGGGGCATGGCGGTTGAGGTGCTGCACTCCCTCATAGCCAACCGTGGTTCAAGTCCCAGACCAGCAGCCACAAAATCAGAACAAATACATAGATAAATAAACAAATGTTTTATAGAATGAACAGAGTGTGAGATGGGGAGAACCGGTGGCCACCCCAAAGCTCTCTCGTGTGTGTCTTGCAGGAGTCCTGTGGAACCTCTCGTCCTGCGACGCACTCAAGATGCCCATCATCCAGGATGCCCTGGCAGTGCTGACCAACGCGGTGATCATCCCACACTCGGGCTGGGAGAACTCGCCTCTGCAGGACGATCGGAAAATGCAGCTGCATTCTTCACAGGTGCTGCGCAACGCCACCGGGTGCCTAAGGTCAGTGCAGGGCGCGACCACCACGCCCACCACGGTCCGGAGTCCCCACCTCTTCTCTTTCCAGAACTTTAATTCTGTTTTAGTAACAATCAGACTTTCCGAGACGATGAATGTTGATATGTTCATAGGGCATAAGAAACTAACGGAAGGGGACCAGCAGTTGGCATAATGGCTCTGTCACTGGACTCCTGTGTAGCCGACTGTGGCTTGAGTCCCAGACCCGGTGGCTTAAACTCACGCTGGGCGTGTGTACGTGCGTGCCCAAGATCCCGACAGGAGAATGGACAGGAAGGGATTGCGGCGTGGCCATTCCCCTGGGGGATGATTTCTTGCCTCCTGTCTCTGTTTCTCTCTCACTTTCTGACGAGCACATGCACCCTATAGCAAAAACCTCTCCAAAAAAAAAAAAAGAAGAAGCTAACGGAAAACATTTCCAACAGGTGCTATGAAGATGGTGGTGTCTTCTACTACCCTACACCCACACCAGTGCGATGTTGTTAGGGTTTGCTTATGTCTGCAGTATAAAGTACATACTTTCATTCCCATCCAAACTGTGTCGCGTCCTCTGATGGAAGACAATCGTTCATATTAGTTCCATGTATAATAGATCATGCTTGTACAATAACCAGGCAGCCCATTGGCCAGGAAGAGTCTGTGACAGATGCATAAGGATCTACCTAACTGTCACCAGCAGCTGTTTTTATTCCTTTTTTAGAATTCTCTGTGTGAGTGTGGGAACCTACAACTCTTAGAAATAGTCCTTTAATAAGGCCTATTGTGTTCAATGATTTTCTTTTAATACTAAAAGGAGCAAATGTGATATCATTGTCTCCTAATGCATTTTTACAACTGTTCCTCAGAAACCTACTGAGAGTTCATAGAATCATCTTTATGTTTTGCTTAATTTTTCTCTTAGGAAAGAAAATAATAATCAAGATCCAATTCTGAACTCTAGAAACGGTGCTCCCAGGGATATTGTATTTTGTGCCCAAATTGGAAATCTTGGCTGGATGAAGTTACTAATGGGGTGGGGCAAAAGAGGTTGTGATTAAAAACACCTAGTCAAATCATCGGTATTTAGAAGTGAAATGCACAGGGTTGATTTAGCTGGGCTGGCTCAGAGCTGCCTCTCCTGCAGCTGGCTCATTTCCAGGTATCACAGTGGTCTCTCCTGAGACGGAGCCGCATCACCTTGGTGACATTAGTAACAACCACCTCCCGAATATTCATAAGAACACTCAGCCTCCAGTCTTGATGGGTGTGTGTGAGAGTGTATGTGCAGAGACCGTCTCCTCCTCAGATAGCCCCACTCACTTGTGGACAGGAATGCAAATCTTCTGCCAGTCTGGCTTCTCTTCCACGTCAGGAAATAATAAACTTTGGCCGTGATTTCTCGGGATATGCTCTACCATAGGCCAGATGTACAAATTCCTATGGAGGTATTCATTTTATAACCTCTTAACTTCTGTTATCCTTAAGAAGCCTCTTCTCCAAACCGTAGAAGAAATAAAACCTTTCTAAAGCTAAAACTGCAGGTACCCCTGACCTTCTGGGCCTGACTTTTTCTATTTCAGTCATTTGTAACTATTACCAATGGTTACTCCTCCCTAGCACCCTCTGTATGCAAGACTGACACCATTCCTAATGAAGACCAGGAAGAAGGAGCCCCAGAATCAGGTGTACAAGAATAATCATTTAAGACCTGGTTAGCTCCATCAACTAAAATCCTCTGCATTGTATAGTAGCATCGTTATGTCTTCATGATGTTTGACTGAAGGGTGTAGGCCACCACCATTGTGAGCATACACGAGACATCCTTTGATGAAGTTAGGCCTTTGATGTAGGGTCAAAGGTCCCCTTTTCAGTCCTCTGGGTGACTTCATCTTGGATGTGGCCCAGAGCCAAGTTAGACCAGACCAGGGTGACTATCCATCCTTCCACACATCTACAGATGCAGAAGCTGGACTGTGATTTCTCTGGCTGCTGGCTAGGATTGATCACATGATAGGAAGGGGTGGGGGGGAAGGAGATATTTGATTTAGAAAGAGTTGTTCTCTAAAATGGGGGATAGGGCATTAGGTGGCTGACGGCAGTTTGAGTCCCAGACCCAACAGCTTGAAAATCATGCCAGACATGTGTACATGGGAGCCCAAATCCTGAGAGGAGAATAGAAGAGAAGTGATTGCTGTATGGCCATTCCCTCGGGGGGAGGTTTCTCACTTTCCCTCTATCGCTCCCTCTTTCTTTGGCAAACACACATGCACCATGGCCAAAACCTTAAAAAAAAAAAGAAGAAAAAAAGGAAAAAAGAACAAACAAAAGTTATTTTGTACCCAAGTCATGTTTTCTTAGCCCAAATATAAGCAGGTTTAGTGATTCCCCACTTTTTTGAGTTTATCATCTAAGCAACATAGAAAAACCCATCAATGTATATGAAACTTTAGCTTCCTCCTTAATTCCTTCAACATCTGTCCTGCTACAGAATGAACTATGATCTTCTGTCTTTCACACGAGTGTGCGTATGGATTATTCCGTGTGGATGAGCAAATTGGACTCAGAGAAGGAGAACTGCCCCAGGAAAGGGCTAGCATGAATTTGTCAAATAAAGGTTTAATGAATGAAATGTTTAAGGAATTTCTAGTGCTATTTACCACTTAACTTAGAAACGATGTTGATGACACAGCCCAACAGGCAGAAATGTTCGCCGTGTTGTGATAAAACGTTTTAGGTTTGAGCATGTGAGTTTATTTATATTCTTGGTTTTCCCAACAAAGTCTAGATTTTTCATATTAAAGAAGTCACTTCTATTCCGCTCCTGCATTCCAGCTTGCTTATCCTGTAAGCACCTATCATGTGCCAGGGTGCGACCAGAAAGGCGGAGGCATAGCAGCCTCCACCTTCAGAAACTTATAAGCTCATGAAAGAAAATGGTGGCCACACAATTAGCCCTGTGTAGTGCCCTGTTGGCTATGGTCAGGGTCATACAGAAGGAATAACAGGGGAGGGAGTGACTAACACAGTCAGGTGTGGTTGAAAAGGGCTTCGGGGATCAGATGAACTTGAGCGAAGCAGAGAGGACTGCACCAGTGGATGCAGTGGGAGAGCATTGTGGCTAGCAGGAGCCACCAGCATGCTCTGACGTAGACCTGGGAGAACGCCAAGCAAGTTTGAGATACAGCGTCAATAGAGTCTACATTTTTAAGTAAAATAAAAATGAGCATTACTGTTCCTAAAAATCAGGCTGGCCTTGTAGTGCAGTAGTTAAGTATTGTGCATTAGGAGCCAGATCCCATGTGGCCGACTGCAGTTTGAATCCTGGCCCTGGCAGCTTGAAGAAACACTGGTAGATATGTGTGCATGCCCCAAATCCTGACCAGATGGCGAAATAGAAATGAAGGGTTCGTGTCATGACCATGTGCTGTTGGGAGGTGTTCTCTCTGTCTCTGGCAGGCACATATGCCCTCTAACAGCTTAAAAAAATAAAATTGTTTTTCCTAAAGTTTCTATCCTCTGAGGTCCTGGAAGTTCTACTTCAAAAAAGTTGCTTATTCTCCTATGCATTAAAAGCTCAGGAAGTTCAGGTCCAGTAAGTTTCAAAGCCAGTACTTGACCCACATTTTGACTCTTGGTTCAGACCATTTCTTCTCTACCATAGAGGAAATATAAAGCTCTGTGCTGCGAGACCGTTAACAGATCGGTGTCTAAAGCAGCATGCAGCAGTCAACCGCCAACAAGTGGACACAGCTCTCCTTTGTGTCTGTTCCTTTGATTGGCTTCTGGACATCGACCGAGTGGCACTGACTTGGTGAACATCCCCTAAGTGCCCTTAAATGTCAGTTGCCCCTTTCCTCTCTCTCCTTTCATACTTTCCACCCCCCTCTCATAAGGCCTCACGTATGCAGCAGACAGGTGGTTTACACAGCCCATTCAACCCTGTAAATCTGGTTTTGTTCATCTCCACCTTTAATCTTCATTTAGACAGTCAGAGCTATGGGTGCTTGTTGGGGTCCATTTTGTTGCTAAGGATAGAAAATACTGAAATGGGTGATTCATAAAAATAAAGATTTATTCAGCTCAGGGCCCATGAGCCACCTCTGGTGCACCTCTGGCTGCATCCAACACAGCAGAGGACAGGGGAACGTGGTCTTAGGGCCGTGGTCTTAGGGCCATGGTCTCTGTCTCCAGGAGTTAACCATAGGGTTCTATGACCTCTGTTCCTCTCCTTAGAAACTCACCAGGAATTAATCATAGGAGAGTCACATTGATCACTTAACCCCAAAGGCTTCAGTTATTGATACCATGAAGGTATTATGTTTCCTCTTAACACTTTTCCAACCGAATGAATTGGGGGTTCAAAATCCACAGCAGTGTCCCTTTTTGTTTTAAGAGAAGACTATTTCAAGGCATATCCTAGAAAATAATATTATTTTTTCTGATATTCAGACTCCATTACTTTCCAGATGACTTCAAGGTGAGTTGACATTTTGGCTTGCTTTTGAAGCTATAGTTTCAGGAATAAAGAAAATGAAATGTTAAAGAAAATACAGCTCTTATTTTAAGGGCAGTATTTCTTAAACTAGGGTAGTTTATAAATCCAGTAGAAGGAGCAAAGGATAGGTAAAAATAAATTTACCAAATCATGATTGAAAATCATTATTCTTGATTTTTATTGCTTGTGACAGTCAGACTTGTTTGTATCATTTAAGGAGAGGAAACCACGGTGAGGAATTTAAGCAATTATTATTCTAAAAAAATCACCTTTTCATTTCCAGAAGGGAAAAAGACGTTATGAATTCAAATCGTACAGATATAAACTTCCCAAAATCTTAGCAGAGAGAAATTTTTTTTTGAGAGGTTTTCGCTATAGGGAGCGTGCACTCGCCAGACAGACAGAGAGAGACATAGAGACAGAAAGCGAGACATTACCCCCCAGAGGGGATGGTCACGCCGCAATCCCTTCTCCTCCATTCTCCTCTCTGGATCTTGGGCACGCACGCATA